AGAGAGAGAGAGAGAGGAGAGGGACAGGTTGAGAAACAGACGGGAATCGGAAGGTGGAACTTTATGGATTTTCCGAGTCACTTACAGAACAGCCCCCACCCTGACACCCTGACAGAGACCAAGGGTCGAGGAAAGACTTTTCTAAATAAAATTCCATCTTTCGCAACTCCGCACGGACCCTCTCCCACAACTGTCTCCTCCTCTGGTTCTTTACCCCGTTCCCCGCCTCGATCTGACTCCCCCTCTGGTTCTTTACCCCCTTCCCCCTCGATCCGTTTCCCCCTCTGGTTCTCTACCCCCTTCCCCTCCATCTGCTGCTGGGAATGCCTCCCCATTTCCTAGCCTTGATGAAAAGCTAAACAACCCCCCTACCCCTTGTGATCTGAACAGACTGATTCAATCTCTCTCCTCCTGGTCTCTCCCCTCACCCTCGCTTTTGCTCAGTGCCCCTGTACACACTCTCTTGTATCCTCCTAACACCGGGGCTGACCGGCTCTGGGGATATACAAAGACTTGGCTAATCTGAACTTGGAACGTGCCTGTCCCACTTGGGAAAGATAGACTGCGGTTCGAACGAAGGGAGGAGACGCAGCGGCGGAGAAGGCGCTTGGGACGCTCGCCTTTATTGGTCGGTGCGTTGAGTGTAGGAGTCGGGAGGGTCATGTTGCTGCTGTATCGGTGAGGCCACTTTGGGAATACTGCGTTCAATCCCGGTCTCCCTGCTACAGGAAGGATGTTGGGAAAGGGCTCGGAAAAGGATGTTGGAGGGTTTGAGCTACAGGGAGAGGCTGGGGGCTATTTTCCCCGGAGCGTCGCAGGCTGAGGGGGTGACCTTATAGAGGTTTATAAAATCACGAGGTGCGTGGATAGGGTGAATAGCCAAGGTCTTTTCCCCCCGGGGCAGGGGGGTCCAAAACTAGAGGGGCATCGGTTTAAGGGGAGAGGGGGAAAGGGACCTTTTTCACACAGAGGGTGGTGCGTGCATGGAACGAGGAAGTGGGTGGGGGCTGGTACAATGACACCATTTAAAAGGCATCTGGATGGGGACATGGGTTTGGAGGGATAGGGGCCAAATGCTAGTAAACGGTACTAGGATTAATTTAGGGTATATGGGTCAGCACGGACAGGTTGGGCCAAAGGGTCTGTTTCTGCGCTGTGTGACTGTGAGAGCGCGCGGTCGAGAAGGCTCTACCCTCAGAGATATCCGCAAGCCTTCGAATGAGGTCCGAAGGGTCTGTGTTTCCCTGCGATAACGCTTCCCCTGGCGTTTTGCGCTGGTCGTTCCCACCGGGAAACTGACAGGGAACGACCAGGAAATGTTTCACCCATTACCCACGCGTAACCTTCGGGGAGAAATCCGAGGTGGGATTTTTGGGTTGGGAATGGTCTCTATAAATGAACCAGGCAGACAGCGCTTTGGTTAAAATAACTGTACTCGTGTGTTAAAGAGACAGACAGGAGAAATACGCCTTGGGGTTGCTTGACGTGTGTGTCTCTCTCTCTCTCTCTCTCCTGAGCAGCATCACACCATCATGTCTGAACTGCACCCACCGCCTAGGGACGAGCGAAAGGCCTGGAGCTGGGAGACACCGTGCAGATGAACCACAGCGGCAGCCACAACCAGGATGTGGAAGATCTGGTGGGAGTGGAACTGGAACAGACCAGAGAGACAGGGGGTGTCAGCGTTACAGACTCGCACTCGGTACGAGTTGGGCTAGACATGCACACACACACAGGCACAGAGCCGCGCGCACACAGAAACACACACAGACACGCACAGAGACGTGCACACAGACGCGTGCACACACACACAGAGACGCCCGCACACACACAGACACACGCACAGACGCCCGCACACAGTCGCACACACACAGAGATGCATGCACATTCACACACAGACACACGTGCACACAGACACAGACACGCGCACACAGACACCAAGACACACATAGACACGTGCACGCACGCACACACAGCCATACGTGCACACAGACACAGACACGCGCGTGCGCGCACACTCACAGAGGCGCACATGCACAGAGATGCCCACGCACAGAGACGCGCGCACGCACATAGAACATTACAGTGCAGTACAGGCCCTTCGGCCCTCGGTGTTGCACCGACCTGTGAAACCAATCTGAAGCCCATCTAACCTAAACTATTCCATTATCATCCATATGTTTATCCAATGACCATTTAAATGCCCTTAAAGTTGGCGAGTCTACTACTGTTGCAGGCAGGGCATTCCACGCCCTTACTACTCTCTGAGTAAAGAACCTACCTCTGACATCTGTCCTATATCTATCACCCCTCAATTTAAAGCTATGTCCCCTCGTGCTAGCCATCACCATCCGAGGAAAAAGGCTCCCACTGTCCACCCTATCTAATCCTCTGATCATCTTGTATGTCTCTATTAAGTCACCTCTTAACCTTCTTCTCTCTAACGAAAACAGCCTCAAGTCCCTCAGCCTTTCCTCATAAGACCTTCCCTCCATACCAGGCAACATCCTGGTAAATCTCCTTTGCACCCTTTCCAATGCTTCCACATCCTTCCTATAATGCGGTGACCAGAACTGTACGCAATACTCCAAGTGCGGCCGCACCAGAGTTTTGTACAGCTGCAACGTGACCTCATGGCTCCGAAACTCAATCCCTCTACCAATAAAACCTAACATACTGTACGCCTTCTTAACAACGCTATCAACCTGGGTGGCAACTTTCAGTGATCTATGCACATGGACACCGAGATCTTTCTGCTCATCCACACTACCAAGAATCTTACCATTAGCCCAGTACTCT